CTTGTAAACACCCAATACCATCCATCCCTGTCTTCAAAGAAACACGAAATAGAGCACTCCTCCACTAAACATCAAGGCATCGAAGATTGTTTTTGTTCCATAAGATAATGACTTTGCCAGCAGTCCCAATAACAAGCAATTCCTTCCATCCCACCTCTACTATTTTCCAAATGCTATAAACCATATTATTCGAGAAGGAGTTCATTTTCATTTCTTGAATGCAGATCACTTCAAGTTTTCATCTTGACATGCAACTTCTAATTATTGACCTTTTCTTGTGATCATTAAGTTCCCTTATATTCCACGAGGTAATATGATCTAGGGTGAGGTCAAAATTGAAACCTTGTCCTTCCCGCTCTTCTCAACCTTCTTAGATTTATTATAGTTGATTTATGATGATAGTCCCTTCAATTCCCTTTCTTTATTTACTCCTTATCTTTTCTTAGCTGATTTAGGATTTCTTCCATTCACCTTCTCCTTTCTCCTCCTCCCGATCTCTCTGAAAAGGTCCATGGCCTGCTCTTCAAATCCCTCAAAACTAATGTCAAACGTTTTGCTTATCCGCTGAATATTGTTGAGGACCATCTTCATTCTGCCCTCCCTATTTTCACCATTATAGATTGCTGCCCGTAGATTCCTCCCTTCTGAAACGACAACCAGAGGCAAGACAGCCTCCCCCTTAGCTCCTCTGGATTTTTGGCTTCGCCGCCAACACTTCCCTCCATTGACGGCTAACACTCCTCCTTTCCTTCATCCTCTCCCAATCAATTGCATTCTCCCAGTCGTCTTACGTCACCCTTGCCCCTCTACTTCTAATTCTCAGCCCCAAGCCTTTCTATTTTCCTTGGGCCAAGGGCTTCGAATTTTCTTAAACCCAGGTCTGTTTCCCATAATCCATTTCCCGTTCTCAGCGCACCAATTTCTTCTCTTTGAATTCTCGTTAAACCAGGCCGCCCTTTAGTGATGGACTTAGACATAAGAGTTACTTCCTTGCTTATCATTTTATCTTGTTCTTAGGGTTTTTATATCCTGTACTTCCATGTAGGTTTTTTTTATGCTCTTTATAATTTTTTTGTTTATGAATTGGTTATATATTCTTGTAGGTAGAGCTTGCAAAACATCTAGTGGCATGTTCTTTTGCCGATCGTGTGTTTTTTTCAAATTCTGGAACAGAAGCAAATGAAGCAGCTATAAAATTTGCTAGGAAGTTCCAAAGACACTCAACTCCTGATGCAGAGGTGCCAGCCACAGACTTCATTTCTTTCTCCAATTGCTTCCATGGCAGGACTATGGGTGCTCTTGCTTTGACAAGCAAAGAACAATACAGATCACCTTTTGAGCCTGTCATGCCTGGTGTGACTTTTATAGAGTATGGAAATATCCAAGCTGCAAAAGAATCAATTAGGCGTGGGAAAACTGCTGCAGTCTTTGTGGAACCCATCCAGGGAGAAGGGGGCATATACAGTGCAACAAAAGAATTTTTACAGTGTCTGCGAAGTGCTTGTGATGACACTGGGGCTCTTCTGGTCTTCGATGAGGTAATCATCCAATTCAATGCCAATTATAGTTGCACTCAAGTAACATAATCTAGTTTTGAACATAGTTGCATTCAATTAATACGATATTTGTTAATTGTTCAGAAATTATTGTGCATGCACTGTGTTCTATCATCGGTGCATGCCAAGTGGTTCCATAGTAACAGAATGTGGTTCCATAGTGAACCCCTAGGCCACTTGAAAAGACAGCAAGGCATTAAACTATAAAATTTCATTTTGAAGATCCTGTATCTCCCCAAAATCTGAAAATTAAAATTTACGCAGGCCTATGATTGAGCATTTGGCAGATAGAAAAACAATGGGATGCCAGGCAGAAGCATTATTTGCCAGCTTTATCAATTCAAATCTTGAATTCATTTCCTACTGGGATCTTTAAGTCATAAAATTACTATATGGTACATGCTTTTCTTGGTTCTGTAGGTTCAATGTGGTTTAGGTCGCACTGGATATCTCTGGGCCCATGAAGCCTATGGTGTCTTCCCTGACATTATGACCCTTGCCAAGCCTCTTGCTGGAGGCCTGCCAATTGGAGCTGTACTGGTGACTGAAAAAGTTGCTTCTGCTATAAATTTTGGTGACCATGGAAGCACATTTGCAGGCAGTCCTCTTGTGTGTAATGCGGCTCTCACCGTCCTGGAGAAAATCTCAAAACCTAGTTTCTTGGCTAGTGTTTCTAAGAAAGGCCAGTACTTCAAGGAAATTTTACAGGAAAAGCTAGGTGGGAACTCACATGTGAAAGAAATACGTGGCATAGGGCTTATCATCGGAATTGAGCTGGATGTTCCAGCAGCACCACTCGTAGATGCTTGTCGGAATTCTGGACTTCTAATACTAACTGCTGGGAAAGGAAATGTTGTCAGACTTGTGCCTCCATTGATCATAACAGAACAAGAGCTTGAACAGGGGGCTGAGATTTTGTACAACGCTTTGCCAGTGTTAGATGAAGGCAAGTAGGTAAGCAAATTTCCTGCATTACTGTTCTCATTTTATACTGTGGCTCACAGATTCTATGGAATGTAGAAACTGTAAGTTATTTGTAGAAAACTAAGCTTTAGCCCATTTCGTTGCACACTATGAGAAGATACTTGGCTGGAGCTTTCTGTGTATGCTTCTTTGTAGAATAAATTGCAATTATTCTCATAAGCATAAATTTACCTCTCCATTTTAAAAAAGTTAGACTTGTAATCATTATATTCTCTCAGATGCAGAAATTGCTCCTGTAAATATTGCATATCTCAATGTAGGAATATTTGAATAGATAATTCATTACAATACTAATACACAACAAGAATTTGTTATTAGAAAATGGAAATCACTTTTCAATCCAAAAAGCCATATTACTTCCTCTTCAGTATCAAAACCCAGTTAACTAAGGTTCAAACTATCTACATTACCAGCAAAAAGCTTGCAAACATGCAAATTCTGCAGCTCTCTGTAACTAGAATTAAAATCCATTGTTCCCCGTCTCTAGGTAGGGGTGAGCGTATGATCGGATCAAATACTCTATCAAGGTAACCTTAGTTCAGATTGGACCAGACCGAAAATCTTCAGTTTGATCTGGTCTTGGACTGAAGTAACCTGAAATTTGTTAAAAAAAATTTAATTTTAATATATTATTTATATATTTAATATTTATTATTTTATTTACATAATGTATAAATAAACATATATATTACTTATTTATTATTTTAAGTTTTAATATTAAAAAATCCTAACTGGATCAAATTCAGAATGTTTGGACTGAAGATCGGATTGAATAATATTTTGTCTGATTTTCTGTCTGGACAGGATAGTACTCATTCCTATTTCTTGATGTACATCCTTCTCCGTTTCCGTCTCAGTTTCTTTCTCCCTCTGCTTCTTGGTTTTTCTCGTCTACTCCCGCATGTCCTTATATTCTGTTATCATCAACAGCTTCTTATTTTCCAAGTTATGACCCAAAAATACTTTTCGATACAATTAAAATAAGCCTTTACTTCTCTTGCTCTCTATGTTCTGAGTATATATGCTTACTGGTTAGAATCAGATTAGTTTAACTGGTTTTGATATGATTACTTTTAAGTGGTGGAGGTGGTGGAGTGTATGGGTTGCAGGTGTTTGAAGCTGACTGGTTAGAATCAGAATACTGTATATCCCTTAGCTGGTTTATAATTGGGTGTAGAATATGTGGAATGTTATTCCTTCTAGTATTATTTTTGGATTGGTTGAATATGGGTGTAGGTTGGTCTGGTCTTAAGTGTTAAATGATATCTTCTTGCTATCTTTCTAATTCTGATTTTAACCAATAAGGAAATTACTAAGTTGATATTTGCCTTAGAACTCGAGGACAAATGGTAGAAACCTATAGAACAGATTATGTTCAAGTAAAATCGTAAATCGTAAGAATAGATGGCTTAGTACCCTAAATTTTTTGCTTACGGGTCATCCTCCGGTTTATTTTGAGACTTATAGAAAAATTACTGGAACGGACGACTAAGCTGTAAATAATTGTACATGCTCATTGGCACCCCTTGTGCTCATACTATACTACTCTTCTACTTTTCATTTCAAAAAAAAAAAGAAAAAGAGATAATCACCTGGAAAGCAAACTCTGTTAAAAACTACATCAAACATTTCGAACGACTCCTGTAAAGATCTTGTTTGTTTAAGGTTTGTTAATTCCACCATTGGTTCATAATAGGTTCGAAAAAGCCTATATATTTTTCCCACATTGGCTACTCAAATCAATCTTTCTGCAATTACATTAGATGTCACTGTAATGTTTCACCTATAGATACACAGATGCGATATTCTCTTTTTAATTCTCATATTGCTTCTTCTACATGAAAGAATCTTTTTGATTTATACAACCAACCTTCATTTTTTCTCCTTCAACCTCACAAATTTGGTCCTGACTTTGTACACTGCAGAACTCCTATCTTCAGTATATCAATTACCGTACCCTAAAAGTTGTTGGCTGTTTATCTTTTTCATATATTAAAGACTTGTTCTTCTTGCTTACACTCCTGAACTGAAGACTGATGAAAGAAGAAAGCTAGCGAATGCGAATGAACTTGAAAAGTCTGGCTACCAAACATGAAGAAAATGGAGCAATGAGGAAGACACCAGGTAGAAGCATCAGATCGTGTGAGGAAGATGAATGTTGGTATAATGGTGGGAAAGAAGCTGGGAGCTGAGAGATATATATATATATATATATCTATATATATATATGTTTATAGCTTCACCGTTTATTCGTCGTACTGTGATCTATAATGTTTGTCTCCTCCGACGAGGCTTCATGTTTGTCGCCTTTATCTCTTTCGAGAGGGTTCTTGTTCACTTTTTTTTTTTTTTTTTCCAAATGATATCTTTCAATCATACAAATTTACAAAAACAAAAAATACAAAAGTATTCAGTCCATAATTATAAAAACCCAAGACAGTGCATCACAAAATAATCCACAAATTTTATTTTGAAATTTAACGAAACCGTAAGAGTATAATTTGCCATGAAACAAAAATTGAAAGACAATGTTTTTAGGCTTTTCAAAACTTTAGTATGAAAAGATAAAAACTGTAATTATCTGAAGTTCAAAATACAGTAAACATAATAATATTAATGATGATATGAT